CCCCCCCTGAAAAAATTCTGCGTACGCCACTGAATATATATATATATATATATATTATATACAAATATATTATATTATATATAATTCTTTGTTTTTTTTACTGAATTTGTTAAGTTGCTGACGCAGAGGACGTACCACCTAAGAATTAAGAAAGCTTTTTTTAGACAGATTTTGATTTTTAGCTGTCAAAATAGGGTGGATAGTGGTAATCTGGAAAGTACGGACCGAATTATTTAGTTAAGACAGGGGAAAAATTTTAATTGAATCGGAAGGAAAGTTTTAACAAAAAATACTCGTTTATGAAAATTTCAGAAGTATAATTAACACGGGAATAATGGTATCGAACAATGGTTAGAATAATGGTAAGATTATGAACGAATAATTATCAATTATTTATTGTGGTTTGAATGGATAAGTTATAAATTAATGCATATATGAAATCAAAATGTAAACGGAATAGATTGAATAATTCTTGAGTTAAAAAATAAAATACAACTGAAGAATTATTCCAAGTTAATAATTATTAATAGTTAGTTACAATTCAAAATGTTTTCAGCCATTAATAATATAATTTCAAAAAATTATAAGTAATCATAAAAAATAATTTTACATTTATAATTATACGATATAAAAGTTCTCGAGATATGGCAAATTACACAAAAATTGAAATAAACATTAAGGGGGCCCAAACTTTTGACCGCTGTCCTACCAAAATTATTACAAACAATTTCTCTATACTGCGGCTAATCCCCATATTTTGATTGCAAAGAATCCGAATTCGTAGGAAAAAGCTGATGATTTTATTTTCAGAGAACGATCGTTAAGTAATCAATAGTTAGTATTAACTAATTCGCATATTTTTTTAATTAACATATTAAATTGGTTTAGATAGCTATTTAGTAAGTGAAAAACTTTTCATTAAAACCAAAATTAATCAGGTCGATCAATTTTTTTTGCTCATTGTACCTGATTAAAATTAGAATAAAAAATACGGAGGGGCTATATTGCTACCAATTTAATTACAGTAATTAATGATTTTGTTTGAAAAACAGAAAAAATATTAACTTAATATTAATCTCTACATTACGCTTTTTATTAATTAATTATTAATATTTTTCTTATAAAATTAAAATCAGAATTATCAGTTAATGTTAATATCCGCACATCAGATGCATTAAAACTTATTGTAGCTGCAGATCATTCTGAGAATATTAACAGATTTCATTACAATTAATGATAAATAGTATAAAAATATTTACGATAACATTTTTGGAATTCATCTGCAACAAACACAATATTTTTTTTTAAAAAAAACTCTACATTTTTATTTTTAGGTGTTTTTTATCATGCAAAAAATATAATTTAAAATAAAAACACCACTAAAGGATGTCACATGAACTGCAATACTTTCAGAGAATAATAAAATTATTTTTTTTTCTGCGTATTTATCTGAATTATAATATAATAATTTATATGAAATTATATGATCTGGAGCAAAATATTATATCGAAATTCTAAATATAGATTATTAAATTTTAGTTTAATGTCAAATATAATATTTATTCCTGCAAACTTGTTCGTGTTTTAAATGAAACGCAAATTGTAACAAAACAACAATAAATATTTTCGTAATTATTTTTGCTTTAAACTTCTATTATGGCTGATATTATTGAAATTTCTGTTTATATTTCATTAATCTTATTTTGTACAGAATAGAGTACAGTTTCATATTTTCTCTTTTCATTTGTTCTACTTGTTTTTTAAGATGTGTAATGCTAACTTTTTTATACTTTAAAAGATTGTGCTAGATATTTTCTTTTTACAAAAATATCGGATACAATACATTTTTTGCCTAAACACAAATAATAAAGAAATTTCTCATAAATATTATGATAAAAATTTAAAAAGTATACAATATCTTAATTCAGGAAATAATAGACTGAACTTAGTAATGAATTAATTTTAATATGAGATTAAATTTTTTTCACTTTCACTCAGCAACTAAAACGCTAAATTTTGTTAGTGAAATATGTAAACGTAAGTAATTAATTTCTGAGTATACCGCAAACAAACTATAAGTACCTGTGAAAATTCATTAGCAAAATTAGTATTTGGAATACTATAAAAACTCAGAACTTACTCTGTTTTCTTACAGTTTCTATCATATTTTGACAGTGTGGACAGTCCAACAAACATAACTGTACGCGATGCAAAGGTGTCCGTTCATAAGTCACCGGTGTTCTCGCAACAGCCATATCGCACGTGGTGCAAAGGGAACCCCCACCAAGAAATGTGCTCACTTGATTTAAAACTTCATGAAAAACTTAAAAACTATTTTAGAAATTGGCATCATAAACCATATCCTTTCCATACGTTGCCATTGAAATTCATGGTAATTCTTCCCCTACAAAAAACCCCTTTTGTTTACCTTTAGGTGTTAGTTGCAAACTTCCCTGGTAGAAGCACCCTTTTCGAATAACAATTTCGTGGGCAATGATAGCAAATGAGTAGACGTCCCCTTTCGGAGTTCCTTCAGGTGTAGGACTGGGCATGCGTAAGATTTCGGGCGCCGTCCACAGTTTTCCTATAGGGAAGGGAAAAAAGTACAACCATCGATTATGCTCTTTTATATAGTAAATCGTTTATGCATTTTATTCATAGCAACATGTATTTATTTTGTCAGTAATACCTCAGAACTAATGTACTGCCAGTCGTTGCAGTTTTTTTTCCTCCTGTCAAATGTTTGAAAAAGAATCTCAATTTATGGTGTGTTACAGAAAAGCAATGATTTAGAAGAAGCATGAAAAACGTCATTTGTTGAATAGAAACGATATATTTAATGAATTTATTTGGACATTGTTGGCAGTATAAATAAAATTTTAGTGCAATCTGCGAGACATTAATTCGTAAACTTGACACTAACATGAAGCTGGAATCAATAGAATTGTTTTTTTCCTCAATGGGACACTTAATACAATACTAAATGCGACAAATTCTCAAGCAATGACTTTTAAATTAAAATAAAATGCACATCGGTAAACTTTTATTAAATATTACATTAAAGTTTGACTTTTCAGATTTCATACTTAAAATCAATTGTTAAACACTAAATTTAAAAAGCTCGGCATTATTATTTTTTTTTCATATTTATTAACTTTTTTATTTTTAACATTTTTATTTTTTAACCTTTTCAACTACCTCCTTTTTAGTTTTTAATATTCGTATTAACTTTTTTTAATTTTTTTAATTCGCCATAACTTTTGAACACGTTTTCTTTTATTAACTTTTTTCTTTTTTTAATATTAACTATTTTAGTTTTTTTTAATGAAATATTCGGCATGTTTAGAACAGATATTTAAAATAATTCGCTAAATTAATTTAAAACGTATATAAGATAGGAGGCATCACATTTGCAGAATTTAGTTACATGTAAGAAAAACAGTTTTTTGAACTAAGAAGACCTAAAAACGAATAAAATTTTTGAAGAAAAATCAAAATGCAGTTATTTAATCATATATTAAAAAAATAATTAACTCTTCTCAAGTACTCAAAAAGTGTTCTTAAAAAACTTTGAACGAACGATCAATTTTATCTTTTTTTCAATTTAATTTTTTTTTTCGTTAATTTCGAGCGTGTTGAAATATGGATTCACTCTTAACTATCTATTCAATATAAAAATATATAATTTTGCACTTAAATTTTAGATATATTTGTCTTGATAAGTAAATTTAAAGAAAAGCTAAAATTAATAAAACTAAATAAAAGCTAACATTAATAAAACTAATTTTAATAAAATAATTTTTTATAAACTCTACAGGAATTAAAAAAATTAGATTGCATTTTATTGAGATTTTGAGCTTAAGATGTGCTCAGAAACTAAAAGCCCAACCCCTTTTGTTATCTGAAATTTTGGAAATTTCTTGTGAAGTTTATACTATTCTAGTTCTCATCATACTCCAAGGAAATTCCTTTTTCTCATTTTCCTTTTAGTCATGGCACGTTATCCTATTGTGACTCTCAGATATTTCAGAATAGCATTAAATGTTTAATTTTATTTATTTGTGTTCAGACTGAAATGAAGTTTCTTAGTTCAGGTTAGAAAGTTTTAGTTTAATTTTGAAGCATATAACAATTAAAAGGAATTTCATATGTTAAATCATACGAAATTGCAAAAATTATGTAGAAATGAAACTAAACAGAAATTATCCATTGAGCCTTTAATGTCACCCGATAAATATATAAATTTTATCTCCAATGCAAATTAGGAATGGTAGGCTAATTTGAAATGGTAATTAGGTATGGTATGGTAGGCAAATTAGGTGCCGCAGGCTGATTTGAAAATCCGAATCCTTACAAAATGCCAACCTCATTTGTTAGGCATAGTGCTGTTATTCTTGTAGTGCAATGTGACGTCGGCAGTTATCAATTAATTCTTTTCAATAAGCCAACCACACATAAATAGCAGCATAAGAATAAATTTTTGTTCTACGTAAGCAGTGTTCAACATTAATAGAAAAAATAAAGAAATACGTGAATTTTTGGCAAAATACATTATTTAATGCACTCATAACAAGACAATATTTTTGCTAAAAATTTTTTAATAATTCAATCGTTAACAATCTTACAAATAATTGTTACACAAGGGACGCAAGGGACAGTATAAAATTTGTTTAAAATCTAACTTTGCACAAGTTAACTGAAAAAAATTCTGTAAAATCGTTATAATTCCTTAAAATATTTTCATACACCTAAATGTCACTTCCAAATAGTAAACATAAATCTTTACTTTTTAAACAAAAATATTATTTCTGAAAACTTATTAGTTATTAAGGTACATAAACAAATGAAATAAAATAAAAATATGACCACCGAAGCCGACGTCTTCAGGGGGTACCGGCCTCGGTAGCCATTAAAAACAAAACCATTTCTATTTGAGGGAGAAGCAAAAGCTTAAAAAATCTCCCTCAGTACGTCGGCTTCGGTGGTCATATTTTTATTTTATTTCATTTGTTTATGTATTGATACTTTTTTCTGAAATTTCTGCTGCTTCTTANAAAATATTTTCATACACCTAAATGTCACTTCCAAATAGTAAACATAAATCTTTACTTTTTTAAACAAAAATATTATTTCTGAAAACTTATTAGTTATTAAGGTCTTATTTTTCCTTAAAATAATTAGAAAATGAAAAGTCAAATTTTTTATTTTAAAAAAAAATTGATATCGTCTTTTTTACAGTGATATAAATAAAACACATGACTTTAAGACGATACAATATGCATGCTTAAAGAAAAACAATAAATTTTCAAATATTGAGTAATATTATATACCACATATAATATTACTACACCAACGATATGATATATGAACTAGAACTATTAATTATTGCACACACTGAATTTCCTTGACATTTCTCTATAGAGGAATCTGTGTCAAACCAACTGCAAGCTACAATTCTCTATGTTTGTTTGAGAAATTAAGCAAAGGACACAACGACTAACAGGGTATCAATTGATGGGAAACTCATAGACACGCTAATGCAATTTGTCTTGAATCACTTCCTCATTCTCGATATACTCAGGATTAAGAGAAAGTCGTTGTATTGCTTTGATCCGAATGTCATGGATTACTTACTGAGACGAAATGTATGTCCCATTTAGGAATATTGCTTTTGATGAATAATTAGTTTGCCGATAATATCGAAATTTAGTAAGTTGCCGCTTTTATAGTGCATTAAGGAAAGATATATAGTAATGCTACTTTCAATGTATGCTGTTTGCAATTTACAGCTTGTTATCTAAATCCTCTATTTTTTTGAATTTTTATTAAGTATGGGAGCATTCCATTTTCTCTGATAGTTCATATGCTTTTTTAATGCAAACTTAAGTGAAAAAGTCTGTTTAATCACTTTTTATTGACTTCAACTAGACTGCGTTAAATACTCTTAATATATATATATATATATATATATATTTTCTACTATTTGCGAATTTAAACACTGTTTTTAATGACATTTTCTATAGGTTAGAGAAGTAAGCTTACGTTGTAAATTCCTTACGTAAACCTGAAGCCATTCACTGATAATAAAACAATGTTTCGTAAATATTAGTTAGAAAATTTTGTGCAATAAAAATATATTGCAAATTATTTACAGCTTTTGATTTTTTTTTTTTTTTTTTAGTAAGAAAAATAGTTTTTTCTTTTTTTTCTTCTTAATATGTGCCTGAAATTTTATGTCAGACGCTTATTAATTGCAATTTAAATCCCTTAAAATCTTAATTACTGCATAACTTAATTCCATTCATATTTTTTAAGGTAAACTTATTTGAAATAATTGGTTTGAAGTTTGCTTAAAAATAAAATTTAAAATCTGAGTAAATGGATTTTTTTTTAAAAAGTAAGGAAAAAAAAAGACTTTTAAGATGAGATATTGGCGATGCTGAACCTGATAAGCCTTCTTTTANATTTTCAATATTGTCTGCTCTACTTCATCCTAAATATATGGTATCAATTGTTATAAGACACTCAAGAATATTATTAGAAAAACGTTCATTACTAATTTCGTTTTTTATTGCAATATTGTATGAAGTGTTCAATTAATTAATATTCTCTATATATAAATATATTAAATTGGATCCATACTTTTCCAGAGCATAAAGGTGTTCATTATTTCATTGTCGTCCAAAGCACGCAAACTATGCAATCCAAAGTCTGTGATTTTCAAAGCAAATCTACTGTCAACAAGACAATTAGATGATTTCAAATTTCCATGTGATCTGACATCACTGCTATGAAGATACGCCATTCCCTAAAAATTTTAATATCTTTGTAAACTGATAAATTAACTTCAATTATACAAACTAACTAGATTAGATAAACTACAATTTATTGAATAAATAAAAGTCCTAAATGGTTTGAAAGCCTTTTTTTTTACATAAAATGTGTAAACTTTTTAAAGAAATCTTGTTAATTGATTCAATATTCGAAATATAAAGTATTATAAATATTTTCTACCAAACTACCAAATGAACTACCACTTTTATACTCTAGATTGTTGTATTTTTGGAAATGCTAATAAACTTTTAATTTTGATTATTTATTATTATTAAGTTTATCAGGTTAGAAAACATTTCTGTATGATTAAACAACGGCTTGAATTTAGAAATAAAATGAGAAATAAAATGCATGCTGCATTATTTAATTTAGTAAATTTGAAGCAGAATATTATGAGCGCAACATTATTAAAAATCCATAGCGTTTCAAGGAGTATAACGCTTAATACTAGTTTGTAGGCTTATAAATTTCTTAGCATATAATGCTGAGATATTTATCGAAAACCGAAAAGATTTTAATGCTGAGATCCACATAATACATTAGTTTGGTTTAAAAATATGATCCAAACCTGTAGCAAAAGCTCGAACAATACTAGAAGAGACAGCAAATGTCCTACTAATATACTAAATTTGCATCTACTTTATTCATGAGGTTACATTAATAAACTAGTAATAGTGTAAATTAAAATTTTTGAATATAATTGAACTTACTTTCACTAAATCATGCATCAGTGAATACCGGAACATCCAATCTAAAGTTATTTGATCATTTTCAAGAATATCCTAAAAATGGGGGAAGGAACAAATATTTATTTATGAACCATATGAAATATCTAATTTTTTAAGGAACAAACAAACTGCATAAATCATATTTATTCAATTTTTATCTGTTTCAAATTTAAAATTTTTAATATTTATTTAATTTTTTATAATTAATTGCGTCTTTGATATCAATAAATTTATAAATGTGTAAATGTTATGCATAATCATTTAATTTAATGAATTCTTGTATTCTTTATATTTGCTTATTTTCAATGAGATTTGTTTTCTTTCAACAGGTTGTTGTAAAATGTATGAAGAAACAAAAAACCTGAAAACAATTACCTAGAGAAAGGAAGAAAAAAAAGCATGTTTTCTATTTTTTTCTTATATAAATATTAATGGAAACAATATGCAAGAAAAATATTCAAAACATAAATTGGATTTATCTCCAAAAAATTCACCTGTCCAATTGCGAAACTGAAAAAAAAAATATTTTCAAAACTACCAGAATATGGTAAAATTTTCTGTGTTTCTTGCTCTATGCACTGTTGGAAATTTCTCGGGAAAAATGGTTAGACAGTAATTTATTTAATAGTTATTTAGCCATATTTAAACAAAGCAGTTAAATTACCATACATAAAATGGTAATCAAACTGTTAACCGTGAGGAAACACAGTTTGTTAACTGTTTTCACCTAAAACGATTAAACAACTAGAATTTTATCACACGAACTAAGCTCACCTAATGAAGACACCTAGTTCCTCTCAACTGTGTAAATATTATAGCCAAGAGGACTAATCTGGCAGTCCCATGATCGATAGAACTGAGGTTCGAATCACAGCATTGACACCACAATATTTATCTATTATTTTCAATACATTAAGTGCTTCCAATGTTCTGCACTCCTCAATTTGTGTTATTCAATCTCTAATGCCCATCACCTAAAGAATAGCTTAGCTCCTATGTATCCTGTTAAATTTCGTTTTTAAGGTTTTGAAACTTTGCTAGTTGTAAATGGTTAAAAACCGTTAAGGTGAAAAAAAATTTCTTACCGTAAACTTTACGGTTTATTGGATGGACAGACTGGTGCTGGTTATTTTATCATAATTTTTGAATGAAAATTCTAACAGTGTGGGAACGCAAAAAGCTCGCTAATTTTTTGCAAAGTGCTTTAGTAATGATTTTGATAAAATTAACAGCAGAATATAGTTTTATAATTTGTGATAAAATTTGATACCTTAGGGCATTGCATTAAATACTATTTATTCGTTAATATTTACTTTTTAGTTTTGTATTTTATACTAAACATGTGGTAATCAGAACTATAATTTTGAAAACTGGAATTTCTGGCATTACCATATGAATTGCACAATTGCCAAATTTATATCTTAAGTGCCATATGATTTAATCAATTTTACTACTAGAATAATGGTTTCATTTATCTAAAATGTCAGTACCACACAGTACGGTAATTTTACTCCATGCTGCAATAAATCTAATAGAGATTACAAGTGTTTTAGGATATCGTTTTTACTTCTGATTAAAATTTGCTAATTTTATTTTATAATTAAAAAACGGTAGAAACTTCAGCATGAGATGTCACAAAATGCATAAAATTACAAAAACGACAACCACATAGACATTTAGACAAACATAATTACTTGAAGACTCCCTCGAGGAAAATACTCTGAAACCAGGTAACAATGTGGAAAATCCACAATAGCTCCTATGAAGCGCACTACATGACTATGTTGCAAATCTTTGATCTAAAAATTAGATTGTAAATTTAGAGTTTTCAAAATACTTTCAACAAATAAATATTTTAAGTTAAAGAAATGAGATGTGTAAGTCTTAATTATATGCAAATGCAGAAAAAAAAAGTTCGAAGTACAGATATGAAAAATATCGTGGATTCCAATGAGAATAAACCTCAATTTAAACAACTTTTTTATTATATTGATGACAGGTATTTGTTCATGATATTTGTCTGTGCGAGTATTTACAAAAAAAACTTTTAACGTTTAGATTCTTGTAACCTAAATAAAAATAACCTTAATAGGAATTCAATTGTATCTTTCACTATGCAATTAAAATAAATGCTTTCTACACAGGGCAAAGCATTATTATTAAGCATAATTTTTTTCAAAAAGTGAAAGTAAAGTTTTGCATAAAATATTTGAAAGGCTTGTAGTTCGTTTAAATCTATATAAGTGTTTAGAAATTAAATTGAAAAAATTATCTTTTTAATAATGTTCGTTTTTTACATCATTTTCAATATTGTCTGCTCTACTTAATCCTAATATTAATACTAACGAAAATATTAGAAAATAATGAGAGAAAAAAACTAATCAATTTGTCTTTTACAAATACAAAGTCAAAAGGGAATTAAAATTACTTTTAAATTTCAAAAAATATTTTTTAAATAATTTTGTTCAGCCGGTTTAAACAATATATATTATTTCAAAAGCTTTTTAACGTAATTAGTTCAAATTTTCAAAAATTGATGCTAGTTTGCAAAGGTTTTGTATAAAACACATTTTTCATAAATATGGAAAAAATAACAGTTATTCAAACTTAAAGCAATTTAAAATCATTAGTTTAAAAGTTATTTAGTAAAACATGTCCTTATGCGATTTAATAAAATGATAAATATTGAAACACGATGGTTAAAAATTAAAGTTGGTTTTTAGACAAATGTCTTTATCTTACACAACGACTTAGTAACTGTTTATTTATTTTTGCATATTAAAAAAACTAATAAATCGCCCAAATCAATTTATATGCCACAAAATACAAAAAATAATACATAAATGCAAAAATTAAATTGTGGAAAAAGAAAAAAATAGGATATTAATGATTACAATTATGTTTTCAAATATGTTCTCTCATGTGTTGAAAAATAATCCCTATTTACCACGACTATAGCTATATCTTGTTATTCACGTTGGAAAGTTTCATAATTATAGCTTTATAATCCCACCCAAATTTGTGGCACATTATTCAGTTTGAAACATTTAGATTTCTTATCCCTGTTTACCACGACTATAGTTATATCTTGTTATGCACGTTGGAAAGTTTCATAATTATAGCTTTATAATCCTACCCAAATTTGTGGCACATTATTCAGTTTGAAACATTTAGATTTCTTATTTTAATTTTTTTCAGCTTAAATTATTAATAATTACAGCAATAACAGTAAACTGTGAACTATAAAAAGTATACTTACCATTTTAATTTCTAGCAATAATTGTCGGTTAATCTCGATTCTGCTTTTAAGTATAGGTTTGAGAAAAACTACTGAACCCTAAAATACAATACTCTTTAAAGTAAAATTTGGCAAAAATGCATATTTTGGCATACATTTAAAAAAAATACATTCAATAGTTCTTTTGAAGTTTCTGATCGCGACATTTTAAGAAATTTTGTAGTTCTTTCTCGTATAAAATAAATACACTGTAAGTAATAAATTAAATATTAAGTAAATTTCTAATTAAATTTTAAACAGAAATATTCAGATCTATATTCTGGTCACAATTCATTCGCATTGTTGTTGTTGTTGCACATCCCCCTGGAGAAGGAAAGCCTAGATCAGGTCCAGCAGGCCCCGTCTCGCCAGTTCCCCATATATCTGCAGAAAGTCCCAATCAACCAGCAGCTGCTTAAAAGAAGCGCCAAGGTAAAAAAGAAGGTGATCAGGACTAGCAGGGACAAGGTTGGAAAGTCTTCTCCCCATTTTGAAACCTTAAACACTTAAGATGGCCACTACGAAATCAGGCCATGGCCGATTGGAAAGGCCGAGGGTCACAGAATGTTAATGATAGGTCAGGGCGGTTGCCAGCATACCACTGATGGAATGGAGTACGACGCCACACTGGAAGCAAACGATGTTTTCCCAGGGAGTGCATCTCAGTGGGAGTAAGATGGTTCAAACTGTCCATAGGAAGATCACAGCCATTCTTAGCGAGCACATCGGCAGTCTCATTGCCATGTACCCCGACATGCGATGGGATCCATTGGAGGCTTATTCGCATTTGCATGCTTGCATTCAAATTTATGGTCGTTACACCGGTTTTAAATGTACCAGTATTTTACATTTGAAATTGCTATTCTTTTAATTGCTTTAACCTTTGACGTTAACATTTTAATCAATTAAATATGTTACGCAGACAAACGCATTGACGAAATTTTATTAGTCCACCATAATTTTATAGTCAAATATTTTATATATATA